ATAAATAGTGCATAATGCTTACATACATAATACACAATCCTTAATACAGTGAGAATTATGGAATATATGGGAGTTATGGGAATTATGAGAGTTATGATAATTATGGAAATGATAGGAGTTATAGAAATTATGGGAATTATGCGAATTATGATAATTATTGAAAGTATGGGACTTATGTAATTATGATAATTTTGATAATTATGCGAAGTATGGGAAGTGCGTAATAATCATAGATGACAAATTTTTCATAGTACGCATTAGGGATTTCTGGCAGTGGGAGGTGGAGCGGGGACAGTGTGAGAGTGAGCTCGAAAAGTAGTTTAGTTATGAATAATGGCGGTTCGCGGTAAGTTAAGACATTATCCAAGTGCTTTATCCTCGTATTTTGCACCTACCAGTAAAGTGTTTTATTTATTGTTATTTAATGACACGAATTGTGATAAATTTGATTTATTGAGATGTACAATATTGAATATCCCAAATTTTCATAATTCACATAATTCGCATAGTTCCCGTTAATTCCTTAGTTCCCGTAATTCTATACGCTTAATCGTATACCATAGTGTCATACTCCTAACAATATGTAGCCCAATAAATTCTCATAAATCCGGGACTATCCCCGAAGATTGTCCAAAATTCCATATGTGCAAAGAAATAAATCGAAAATGATTCTCAAATTTCTAAAACTTCTTCCAAGTTCCAAAATGACGCAGAAAAGACGATACAAAGTGTAACCGCATTATGACACCACCCCCCGTGCTTCTCTCCTAACCTTCACACCCAACGTATCTTTCTTCCTAATTTCGACACTCTCATACAAATACATGGAGTCGACGCATGTGATCGATTTGTACACCCATTGTACTGTTCAATTCTGATACATAAAGTTGTAATTAGGCATGCAACAATCCCGTAGCTTAGTAACCGAGCGGCTTGCTTCGGTTCCATCGCTACTACCACCAAAAATTTCCACATTGATCTTTTGTGGTTTCTGAGGCATGACTCAAACATGGCGGAAATTCCAAGTTTTTAGTGCCTCATGGCGAACAAAAAGTGCATGTTTCTGCTCAAATATACGGCTTGGTGCGAAGCTGGTTTGGAACCGAATCGGCTTGGTAGCAAGCCGCTCGGTTACTAAGCTACGGGATTATTACATGCCTAATTACAACTTTATGGAGAAATAAATGCTCTATGCAACCGTATAAAAATAAAAAACGTCTAATATTTGGCAGAAATACAGTTAACTGACAAAAACTGTTTGAAAATAAATGAATCAAGCTGCGTATCATCTAAATGCTTTTACCAGATGTCGAGAACTGCTCGGTGTCAACTCAGAACATATTCTCGTAACGTGGTACGAGCTCATAGGCCCATTCTTGACAACTGCTTTGTTAATCATATATAGATGAGATAGAGCAGGGTCAGTATATACATAAGTAATCAGGACTATGCCCTAATTAATTGTATTCACAGGGCCTTCTAACCAAGGAACATTTCGCCGCTGCAAAAGTCGTCATTTTTGTGGAAATTGTCGGAATCCTAATGTGACTGTTTTAGGTCTATGGTATTAGTGTTTCTGGTATACCACTACTGTTTATGAAAACGGTCGCAAAATGTAAAAACGCAGCTAACGACAATTCGACCGTCGAGCAGCGTCCGGTAACGAGCACACAAGACTGTGATAACAAAAAAGAAAAGCGACAATAGCGAGTAGTTCGTGTAATAGCAGTTGATTCGGATTGATTTGTGTAGTGTGATGTTTTATTTGTTCTTTCTTTATGTTCTTATATCATTCATTAATTATTATTCATTAGCTCATAACTACTATAATTTTGTTTCGAATCTAAATAAACTATTCGATAACATCCCGTAGATGCTCCAATGATTCTGATAGCTTCTCCATGCTGGATTACCTATAGTACTCAATTTTCAACCATCCACACCATTTCTCTCAAAAGTTACTAGAGTTATTAAGCTTTTGATTTCTTCGCGTGGACATAAAATTTTATCTAAATATTTATATAGCCCTAACTAACGTCAAGGGAATAAGTTAAACATCAACGCTTTAGACTAGCAACCTGTCGAGCAAGACTAAAACATCATTACTGACCACGAACGACACAAAAACGATCTATTCGACTTTCATCACATTCAGCAGAGGGAAAACGAGTATTTTTGATATTGGCGATTCCTTTCCAATCAAGGGATAAGTGAATCAGCATGATGAACGCTACTTGTTTTATTCACTCTTTTACTTCTTTATACTACAATGGGTCTCCCCGACTGTGCAGCTTATTGTCAATAAAAAGTTTAAACTAGAAATGAAAATGAATTAAAAAAGAAAATAAAAATATATAGCGCACTTCACGTTTATGGTACTTTACCAAAAAGAAAATAAAAACATGGTAACAATTGTGTCTTCTCACTTCAACTATATTTTACATTAAGTGATGAATCATTACAATCAGCTGTGCTGGGACTGTGCAGCAAAATGGTGATTTAATGTGATGTTTAATGCTTTTTAGAACAATTCTACGAGATTGAATTGTTCGAATGAGGCACATCTAAACTCGAACAAAAAAGTAAATGATCTCGAATGTTATAATAGGTCATTCGATGTACGATTTTATAGATTTGATGACAGAGAACTGATAATATTGGAAAACATATGCACTAATAACTTGTTAATGAAATCAATCAATCTATCAAACGGAAAAATAAAAGAAGCAATATATTCAACAATAAATCATTTAATTAATCAGTAAAACGATATTAAGAAATCATGGATGAGAAAACTTAATAAATAATGTTGAGTTGTTAATCTTGGTGCTGCCTATAAATAGTAATCATCCTCTACCGATGAGTTGGTTTTCTATTTTCTAGTTGTTATGGAGTGAGCCGTTTCTATATCACTTTTATATTTCTTTACTTTATTTTGCAGTTATGTTTCGATATTTTTGGCTGCTTGAGCATTTTATCTTTAATGTTTGAAGTTCGTTCTAGTTTGTATACAAGAGAAATTATTTGTCTCAAAGGGCATCATATCAGTTGAAGCCTAGAGTTGATGAGAAAAGCTTTGCCAAACCGGGAAACTGTTTTCGAAAAGAATGAAACAATTCACATCACATTGAATTACCCTTTGGCTGAACAGGCCCAGCAACAGCTGATTGTAATGATTCATCACTTAATATAAAATATAGTTGAAGTGAGAAGACACAATTGTTACCATGTTTTTATTTTCTTTTTGGTAAAGTACCATAAACGTGAAGTGCGCTGTATATTTTTCTTTTCTTTTTTAATTCATTTTCATTTCTAGTTTAAACTTTTTATTGACAATAAGCTGCACAGTCGGGGAGACCCATTGTATTATAAAGAAGTAAGAGAGTGAATAAAATAATATGCACAAGATAATATTCATAGAATATATTCACTTCATTCTTGGGTGATGCTTCTTTCCTCTTCATTTTCTAATGCACTATTTTGTTGAATGCTTTTTATGCTACAACTTTCCATTTCACGCTTTATTACACAGTTTTCTTTTTCTGGGTACCTTAATACTTCAGCAATTTTTGTCCTGCTAAACTTTAATTAAACAGCATAGAGCATATGCAATCAAATATGCTGATCATGTTTTTCATTTCTAAAACCCATCAAATGTATGTCAAAATGTTTGTTCGTATAGAATCAAATAAAAGCTTTGTTGTTGTCTGGTTGAGCACTACACAGGAACGACAAAACTGAAAATGTGCAGTTTATTTAAAATAACAAAACGGTCATCTTTTTATGTTTATAAGAATGAATACTTCACAACCCCGAAAATTTCATTGAGATTAACTCTGATATTAGAACCATTATCTAATTTTTCTAATTTCGATTACTTGCTCATCAAGAAAAATATTCGTAATCTCTGTGATAGTTGTCTTTTTTAATAACATCACGTATTCTGCCGGTATGCGATGGTAGTATGATGCATGACAAAAAAAATACTTTTCACAGTTTGTTATCGAGAAATGTTGTCCTCTATTTCATTCTTGTCTTAGAACAAAAAACTGACACAGAAAAGCGATTTTGTTTTATTTCTTCAAATGCAAAACTTTTATCTCCTACTTGCTTATTGACTAAACACAAAAGACCGTGTTCCAAAGATTCATGTGTAAAGAGTAGCTCATAGCGACAGCATACATATAAGCAAACTTGCATCGTCAAATAAATTAGTTAGATGGGTGACTACTCTCTAAAAAAAATCCGTAGCTTACAAAACGAATATCGGTTTTGACATTTGCTCCTAATAGAAACCGATATCCGTATCGTACGGTCCTGCATAACCGTTTCGCAGAATGCGCTTCAACGTTTTTTGCCTTGCGAAGAAACGGATTTAGGTTTTGTATCAGAGAAAAAACGTTGAAACGTATTCTGCGAAACGGTTATGCAGGACTGTACAATACGGATATCGGTTTCTCTTAGGAGCAAATGCCAAAACCGATATTCGTTTTGTAAGCTACCGATTTTTTTTAGAGAGTAGTCTAAGTGTTACATTTGATGGTGACAATCTGATACTCTTACTGCCATCTCCTGCCTGCTGCCTCGTTAAGCTTTCTCTCATTTACAAAACCGCAAGTTTCCCATTTCAATGTAAAATAATTTCAAGAATGTACCACGTCTTCCTGCAGATGAGACATTATGCCTAACTGTCCGTCCCATTTTCAGCGATCTTTTGAATAACTCACAGAAAAAATGCAGGAATATCTTTGAATGATGTAACGTGCTTTATTTATTACATGACCAAATAATTATATCCCACAGGATCTTTTTTTCTCTATTTATAGCGTTATAACGCTATAAAACATGCTTTTTTTAAATTATGGTATTACAATGTTATAGATTTATCTCATTACATCGCGCTAGACGTAGTCTGTCGTGTTATAACGCGTTGCAAAGTTATTTTTCAGGAATTTATCGCATTGTAACTCGATAAAACTTTTCATTGCATTAGAACTCTATTATTTAAAAAAGAGTTTTCCTATTTGGGATTGTTTAAATGCTTGTTTATAAATACGTGATGGTTGAATAAATAAGAAGAACGTGAGTAGTTGCGGTATATAGGCAAAATAATAAAGCGAAATAATAAAATGTTTTAACCAAACAATATTCCATGTATCACAACTGAGGATAAAACCAGCTAATAATTGGGGTAATGAACATAATATCATTAATAATGGACATAGTAATTGCTCATAACGTAATTTTATTTGAAACCATAATGATGAAATGAATGATTCATGACTAACATTTGATTTACTTCGTGCAGCTATTGTAAGAATAATTCCGCTTGCATAAACATTTAACAGAACCGGAACGATATGATTAGTAAATATAGAAAGAGTATCAACTGTTTTCCATACAGAAGATAATGATGAATATTCGGTAATACAAATAAGTTGATTAGTATTTTGTGTGTCGTTGGTTATACGATGCAATAAAATATCTATGACGGCACTTGCTGCCACTAAGAAGATTGTTAGAACATACAACATGAGTTTTTGCTTATCATACTTATCGAATGGAACACCATGCTTATTTAAATTTCTTATTCTTATTTGTTTTGTATTTTGTGCACGGCTAACTGAAACAAAACAAATGGACCATTTACTAATGTAGGTAAATGTTCTTGATAAATATGAACATAATTTACACAAAATTAAATTTAATAAAGTATGATGATTAAGAAGAGAATATTGATTAAGAATAATATAGAGAACGTGTGCTAATAAAAAAGTTAAGCTCAATTGACTCGTAATGGTTGTTAAAATAATAAACCAAACAATTGTTGTACGTCGAATTGCTGATTGACATAATGCTGCTAATGAGAAAATATTACTAACGAAGCCAATTAACGTCATTGTGCCTGAAATTGATATATAACCAATTGTTGTTGGCAAATGAGAGATACTCATGGATGTAGCATCGGCTAGAATAGAGAAAGAGAAAAATAATACTGTGTAATGATCATAAGCTGTAAGTTTGAAGAACAACTTGAAAATCTTCTATATCGTTCAAACAAATTTTCAATTTGTAAAGTTCCATAACAAAAAGCGCAGAATTAAATTCCTGCTCAGTATTTCTTTGATATTTTTACATCCTTTCGATAAAAAAGATAAAGATTCTCTATTCATTTCTCCAGTAAAGATGTTTTGAATGTTTTATGAGGAAATATTAAAGTGAACTCAGATAAAGAATCAAAATAAGCAGTAAAATAATTAAGTTCGTAACCAGTAAAATAGTTTTTGCTTCTTATATTTGCTTTTGAGATATTGCAAAGTCAAGTTTGCCATTTAGTAGCCATTAAAAAGATTTAAATTAGCATTGGTTGGAGACATTTCATTTGCGGTATTTTGAAGTTTTCAAAACTTCCATCTTGTATTCAGGGAACACTGACTCCAAACACAGTTTATTATAGTGGTTATAGAACTATATAACATCTGACAATAAATATTGATTTTGATTTAAATCAGAATCGTTTGTATTTCTTTTTAACCGCAATAAACTTGCATGATTCATAGAGTATTCTGACAATGAATTTGTCTTTCTCTCGATACTTTAGCATGTTATCATCGAATTGTTTTGGTGATGTCCTATATATATTCTCAATATGAGTTGAGAGAAAACTTACAGGAAGGCAGTCTCGAGGACTGCACGCGTAATAAGGGCCGGTCCGAGTTTTCAAAGCTTGAGCTTTTCTGTCGCGAAATAAGCGGTTGTAAAGCAAAATTTATCAATCTGACGACGATAAAGTCTTAAGATATGTTAGAATCTTTCGGGTTCTTGCGTGTTTCAACAGATACAGCACTACTGCGTTTTTTGTTTGATCCTTATTTTGGCGCTACGATATTCTCCAGTTTTCGGTCAGCTTATTGGATTTTGTTATGCTTTGGAGGCGTTGATGATGCTTTATCACAACCACGTTATTTGATCTCAAATACATCTTATACTTCTGCTAATGTTTATCGTTTAGTAAGATTATAAATATTCAGTCACTATAAAGGTTGACAGGTTTCTACTGATTGTTGCACCATTTTAAAATATTGAAGACTCTTGTCTGAGGCATATTCAAACCGATACAAAAATGTGTGACAAGTTAGAAACACGTAAAAGTTGGAAAGATCTCAAAATACGCTAAGACTGTCTTGTCAGATAATATTTAGTTGATCCCATTTATTTTGAAAATCATGATTAAAAACGACCATCTGTTCACGATATCAAATATCATTAACCGTGATCCGAAGAAATTGCGATTAGACGTAACAGACCTTAACCAGATCTGACTTTTATGCACAATTAAAAATAAGTGTTAACTGCGTCGTGTAACTATACTATCAGACTATATCGCTAGATATTATATAGTGTTTTGAGCTAGTTTTTTCTGGATACAAGGTGAAAGCTTATAGTTCCACATAAGCAAGTTGAGTGCGAATTTCGAACTCAATCTCGGAAGTTCGAAACTTTTTATTCTCAATGAAAATAAATTAGGTTAAATCTCGTTAAATATATTTCAAAATTCTGAGCTTTAGTCACACCATTAGAAAGAACATGAAAAACTGTATACACATTCTCATCTCTTGTTTCTTTTTTGTGCGCTGACTCAGTTTTCTTCAAGTTTATGCAAACTTTTCCAACTAACTATCCAGGCGTCAAAATTTTGCCATATGCAACTAATTACAAAAGAAAAAGCGTTAAGTTTCAAGTCAAATACTGCGTGAGATATTGAAAAGGCAATTTTTAAAATTTAGTTAAACAAAGTGTATTCTAGTCGACCTTGTTTCTTACTCTTCCGTTTCTATACTTCCTCTAATTTTTTCAATCGATATGGAGGTAGTGTTTACCTCGAAGGGCAAAATAGCGAAAAAAGATTTCGATATTTATTCACAGCTGCTACACACCTAGCAATCTCATGGACAAAACTTAAGAACGTGTCTGTCATCATGGGATTAAAACTACATCGAAGAAGGCGGTGAATTATAACAGAGATTGTCATGGCTGCCAACTGAAAGTACAATACTACTGGAAACGAATCCAGAAAAAAACACCGCAATCCATGAAAACAAAAAATATTTTGTTTCACTAGGTGATGCTAAATAACGATTTTGTATGTAGTAACCAAACTATGTCTTACCAACGGTACCAGACATAGTCATGCTTTTCTAAGTAACTGTAGGGCTCATTTAGAGGAATAAAAGAGAAATAGGAATTAAAAATGCCGCTCGATATGACTTAAGTTAACGCAAAATCAGACAATAGAATGGTATATCAAATCACGCATATGTACTATACTTACTTTCGTAAACCGACATTTCGTATAACGACACTAGCATAGTATGCACAATATAAGTTGTCGTGAACTCATTTATAATAGTTATACTTGCATTGTTCATCGAATTAAGTTTATCAGGATTTATTCACATGGCATGAGAATGAGCGACTCGATAACCTTTATTCGCTTTAGAACTACAAAAATACCTCAAAAACCCAAAAACTTATCAGAGCTTCTACATAGCGGATCAGGTAGTCAACAAATAATCATGTGTCGTAACGTCGAAGTTATGATGCTCTGCTGCCCGCGCTCCTGCGTCTGATAGTCCTGTACTTATATACATACAATGATCAGATGATGTCCGCAGAAAAAGAACATAGCCGTGATTGTTCGGATTGGTGATGTGGTGGAGAAAAACACAGATATTTTTACCTCGCCCCACCTGTTCTCCACCTAGAATAGGTGGCCAGACCGCTTAATAAGACGCACTACCTTCATCTTCATCGTTAATTCCTTCTGTTATGATTTTGTCTGTTGAATAACGGTCAAACGCTAATAATGTTTCTAATGAAAAACCGAGTTGATCTGTTCGATATTGACACATAGAGCCATAATGACCTGAAACATACGTTAAATACAAAAAAGCAATTCTTCACTGGATTACTCACATTTAGGACACAGACATATCCAATTGTTTAAATTTTTCTCTCGATCACCAAAATAACATTTTCCTTTATTTAAACAATAGTGACATTTATCATAATTAGAATTATAATGGAAACATGATGCGCGATGTAAATTCTTATTACATAAACAGAAATATGTTTTAGGATCATAAAAACATGTAACAGATTGATTATGTTGGTGGTGACATGGACGATGATATAATTTTAATATCTGATACATATTCTCAGCTGAATAATGTTTTGGTGCTAAACCTAATTCATTTACATGTAAACAACGATATTTTTGTAATATTGTTTCATCATTTTGTGATACTGTAAATGTTAAAGAAGAAACATCATTTTCATCTTCACCGTTTGTCTCATTCTCCCGTGAAGAAAGAAGATAAATATTATTGTTGTCATCATAAACTTTTAACAGAATAGCTTGAAAAGAAGTTGTGACTGGTAAATATAGTTTATAACTTTTATTCGATTTAATATCTGCTAAGAAATACTGATGTCCAATAAATGCTAGGTCCGTAAACCATGTGATAAATTGCAAAATCATTATAGTATCATGCCATACAGTTTTTATGTTCAGCGTTAATCGTGTTTCATTGTACTGGCATAGAGCACCATAATAATTTGATTTACAGAAACATACGTTTACATCATGATAATAATCATTTATATACGACAGGCATGTACCACCATTTTTGCATGTTCCGAAATCACACGCTGCTGACTTGGATAAGTGACATGTAAGCCCAAATGTATTCGCTGGACACACACAAACGAAACTCGTGTAAATATCCTTATCCACATTATAAAATGTTGGAAAATAGATACTACCATTGGCACAAGTGTCACCGATATTCTTCAATGTATTGCTTGATAATTGATGATGTATGGAATAATTACACGTTTTTCCATTCCAACCTATTTCACAATCACAATAATAACCGTGTATGTCATTTGTAATTGGATAATATTTACCGTGTTTACATTGATTGCTCGCATATACTTGTTTCAGTCTTGTTTGACGTTGTTTTATCGTATCAATATGTAAAACTGCTGCTAAACGATAGGCTGGTAAAAACGGATATTTGATATCATATTCCCAAACAGAAAATAATTGAGCATAATCTAAATCAATATTATATAACAGAATACGAATTCTATAAGCATTTCTATAGTGTTCTGGCTGATGAATTTTATCAAGTAACATCCACGGATAATTCAAATAAAAAATTTTATCCGTTTTCTCATAGGTCGGAATTTTATTATATTGATTGTTTACAATGAAATTTATAGTATGAATAGAATGGTCAATTGTACCATTATGATATAACAGAAACGTAACAATTCGAATAACAGGGGACAGAGAATGCTCTGTTTTACGTCCAAAACGTGAAACTAGTGTAGTATTAATAGCTAATGCAACTGTGAGACGATGATTATGATACTGACAACGATTACCGTAGTAACTCGGTGGACATAAACATTTCCTCTCTCCTTCACGCATAACTGGTATACCACGATCACAATACCATGCAATATCGTCTAGAGTAGCTTCTTCTTCTGATTGTAATCGCTGGTGATTGAAAATAGCATGAGTGTACTGTTTCGTTGGATGATATTTTGCTATTTGGTAACAGGGGTATTCATCGCGATCATTAACAATACAATCTCGCTTACCATCACATCGTTTTTGCCTAGATATACAATACTGCAATGATGTTACATTTGCAGCACAAGACAGTGTTTCTAATGGACAAAAATTGGTTGTTGACGAACGTTCACCACAGATATAAGGATCTTCATCACCGTCATCTACACAATCACTCTGTCCATCACCTGCATCATAATAAAATAGTCTATACAACAGAGTAGTCATTGCCGGCAGACTGGTTCTAATTTGGTATATGCAAGCTTGACATTTGTGAAAGTCATTTAGAAGTTTGTTCGAAAAGTACCTCTATTTGTTTTACAAATTCTTTTGTGTCATGCAGCTCAGCTACATTCGTTCGAAAGAGCAGTGTCAACCCAACCTTTCTGTGGCACAGTTGTTGTCGGGAATGAAAACAATGATTTCTTTGTATCTTCTTGCGCTGTTTTTTAAAACATAGAACTTCTACTTGAAGTTAACCTAATCTATAGTACTTTTGCGTCAAATTCAGGATAATGAACTGTTCCTTTAATAATTTCCCTTATAACGGTTTTTTGTTATTTTAAGACCAGAACCTTCTCCCCCTCCCCCCATAACAGAAGACCATCCCCTATTAGAAGACCACTGCCGAGTATATGACTTGAAGCCAAACAGTAGACCATGGTCTTCTATTATGTCCGTCAAAAAAATCGAAAAAAGCTTGTAGAGTAATTTTCAAAAAAATTTCGCCAAACTGTTCTTCTAATAGGGCACTCCAAGTATGTGGGGGTTACCGTTGTGTTACTAGCGGGAGACAAAATTTGACCACAATAGAAAACCACTTTTTAGAACTCAAGAGTAAGGGGCAGCCGAACTCATAGAACTTTATATTGATAAAATTTGCCAGATTAGCAGAAAGAATTCAAGACTTAGCATCGAGTTTTTTTCCAGTTTCTGAAACTTCAGAAATTCAAAATTCGTCATTCCACGAATTCAGAATTAGCATCAAGTGCTTAGAAATAAAAATCAAGCGTTTTTTTAATTCAAAGAATTCAAGCATTCATAAATTGAATTCATGTTTTTCCAATTCGAGAAAGATCCAACAATTCAGGAATTGACAGACGCCTTTTAGTTTTTTCAACGGAACGAGTACAATAATTGAAAAGCTGGAAATGTGACCTTTTATGAATTTCTTGAATTGAACCATTGAAGCACAAATGGTCAAAAATTTTGCGAATTTGTATGGAATCGGTTTGAACTCACATGTTCAGAATAGTCATAAATCGACGAATTGCGGGCATCAGAGTGACTGTAGCGTGCAATTCATTGTTAGGTAGCGGTTCACTCTCATCGTCCTACTCCACCCCACACCGCACTATGGTTACAAAGAGACTTCCTATTTGTTAGTCTCTGAATTAAAACTTATGTATTTCCAAGAATTGTTCAAACCAATTCGATACAAATTTAAAGAATTTTTGACTTTTTCGAATTCAAGAAATTGAGAAAAGTCAGATTTTGAATTTTTGAATGTTTTGTATTCTTTCAATTGAAAAGACTTAAAAGTCTGGCTGAATTTCTGAATTCTTGAATTAAGAAACATCCGTGATGGTTATTCTGAATTCTGGCATTCCTGAATTCGTAAATCTGTCTCGAATTGGAAAAAAATGAATTCAATTTATGAATTCCTGAATTCTTTGAATTAAAAAAAAGCTTGATTTTTATTTCTGAATACTTGATGCTACTTCTGAATTTCTGAAATTTCGGAAACTGGAAAAGAGCTCGATGCTAATTCTTGAATTCTTTCTGCTAATCGGGAAAATACTTGGGTATTTGTTAAAGACTGTCATGATCTATCTACTGGTAGAATAATATTAATAGATCATCAAATTTGTCTTTTTAGAGAAATAAATAAAAGCACATGTGCAAAGAGGTGCGACATAACTTTTATCACACTTTTTCATTTATTTATTTGACATGAATAACAACTCATATACAAAAGAAAGTAGCATCCTCAGTAACTATCAATACTACAATTTGTGTAAGTGCAAAAATATTGTGTGAGATGTTTATGTTTAATAAGAGTTTACGCACATAATTAACGATTATCCCAGAATAGGTCCTGCTTGATGGTCATCTTCAGGATCCTGTATTTCAATGGCCATCAATCCGTACATCTTTGCGCATCCATCAAAGATGGAAAATAATAAGCTCTATGAGGCAGTCAAAAATAATTAAAAAGGCTATGGATAATTATGATAAACACTACCGTCTTGGTTAGGATTAATATCCACTTTTCTTTTATAAGAAGAATAATTATTCAAATCGCTATTGGCAAATGATAGCTACTGTGTGTAAGTATATAACAGATCTATAAAACTAGTTAGAAAAGAAATGGTGGAAACCGCAAGTCTCCGACCTTGTTAGAATTATATACCAAATGAAAGCTCATCGGAAATGGGATTGATGAGTATAATTGATATAGCCATTTTACCCTCGCAGCAGAGAAATGCATTTCGTTATTTTCCGACGGATTTGGCCGAACTTGTAGAACGTCTGCTGACTACATTCCCTAACGTAGAACCTTGAAGTTGGTATCAAATGAAACAGCGCATCGAGTTCTCTATATTTCGACGGAGAAAAGTTATGCTACACCTCGATGTCTTGAGACAGAGATTTCTGAAACACCGAGTTTTCTAGAAAACTTGGTGATCTTAAAGTTTCTTTCAGAAGCCTTTCAACCATATCATTAGGTAGCCTCTTCAATTCTCTATAAAATAAGATGCTGGCCAAGTTTCGATGATCGTAGACAACCGAGTTACACGCCTTTTAGTATTATGAATATAAATTCAGTCGCGTTAATGCTGTTTTCGAGCTGTATCGTATTTTGTACGCCACGTTTTGATACAACAGCGTAGAAACTTGCCCAGCATCTTTTTTTTATAGAGAATTGAAGAGGCTACCTAATGATATGGTTGAAAGGCTTCTGAAAGAAACTTTAAGATCACCAAGTTTTCTAGAAAACTCGGTGTTTCAGAAATCTCTGTCTC